GTTAAAAAACTTAGTACATATTTCGTTCATCCGGTTGCGGTTGGCTGTCCTGAGACCTGTATTGTCCTTGAGAGCAGATGGAATGTGGTGCCAAAGGCAAATATCCCTTTCTACGGCTTCCAGACTAATCCTTCTTCCAGCTGCTTCGCAGAGTTTCTTTTGTCTGTAGCCTTCATAGTCGCATTTCATCTTTTTCCTTATCGCTTCGCAGAGTTCACACACTCGATCAGAAAATTCGCCAGAAACATGTTGAAGAGCGCTTGATCTGATGAATTATTTGAATCCTTCTCCATGAAGTCTCTTAAGCCCATTTCGAGTGAATGGTCAGAATTTCTCTTCTGCTCGAGCGGAGCTCTACCCTCAAACGGCCGGTGATTGGTAGAAAAATTTCCCTTGTAACACCCTCTCAGTGTTCCTAAATTGTGAGAGAGCTCCATAAATGCTCAACATTAAGCCTAAAAACGTTTTACAAGCGCTAAGGATGCACTTTATAGTAAAAAACGAGCACATGCATCAAGGAATCGAACCTCGATTTCATACATACCAGTCCACCGTCCTATCAGCCGCGCTACCGTTCCACAGTTATTGCTCGGCTCGGTGATCCGTTCTGTACAGTGGTATAGCACAGGGAGGCATTAGTCCCCAAATTTGTACCCACAATCGCTCAGCTAATTCGGAGCACAGATTTGAGATCAGCGTTCGAAACCACCTACGGGGGTATACATCTTATCTTTAATGTTCCCTGCGACCGAGTATCCTTCCCTTGTTAGTCACCGACCAGGACTGAATGGTGCGGTCCGTCAAGTTACGAACTTCAAAATCAGAAATTGAACGATTAGTAAACATGCTCATATCCTTGAATTTGAATGATGAAAACAAAGGAAAACGCGATACACACAAAAGCACGAAAGCATCATCTCTACCGATACGACCAATAAGGCAATAAGGATACTGTAACACCTACCAACATGAACTTACCCGATAGCGACACTTGCAAAAACCAATGAACACGCCCAATGCTCCAGTGTAAAGCTAAACCTAACAAAAGTGACAGCACGTTTGCCAACGGCTCGCGAACGCATTACCACCATTCTTCACCCTGGAAGCATTGGCTTACACTTACCATAACTATGATACTATCTCAAGTTACCAACGCGATGAATCAATCAAGCCCTCGATCGAGATGTTTGACAGGAGGAACACACATGCAGATATTGTATCCGACCGAACGCACACAAGTATGCGGTAATGGCTACTGCATAGAAACCCTGACCTCAGCTGAAACAAAACAGTTCGGTTCCCTCCTGAAGTTACAGTGCATTCATATCATGCTACAACAAAAACAGTAAACAATAACAGAACACACGCGACACACTGGCTTGTCCATGAAGCCCCTTTGTGAACAGATCACATGCAATTTCTGTTCGTGAATGATTTCCAACCCAGAGTGTTTGTCTGGAAGCGCAATTGCTATTACATCGATCCTAATTTATATCATTACAATAACGGCTTTTATCAGTTTTACCTCAGTATGTAAATCATTACGATGTTTCCGTCAAATCTGCGGGAAATTCAATTACACGATGTCAACCTACCTTCGCTGCTCTTACAAACAAAATAAATACAAACAAACATTCAGACGACAACATCGCTTTAACGAAATTGGATCAAGTCAACGCAATGTGGAAAACTACTACAATAATACGTTTACTAACAATACTGACGTGACCATCACTATCGTATAAAGCTGTAAGCAAACAACAATAACACAGTCAACTATATCTCAATGCAATCCCTCAGACACCACCTGTCACGATAGAACAACACTCTACCGCAACTCAAAATGCAACATTCCTTGTGTATTCAACTCGAATATGGTAACCAAAACCTTCACCTTATGCGAATAGCGCTCAAGTTCTTGATCCTCCGATGTGGAAGAGCAACTTTATATTACTCTAGGAACACTCTCACCAAGGTTGAATACCGCAAGAGCTGCACTCATATAGGTACATGTACGGGACTCAAATGTGCAAAAATAAGTCCAGTTACATAAGTCGAAGAATTAGAAGAAACAAACAGCTGCACTGGAATGACATACTGCTAAGATCTTGTGGAGATTGGGTTGCTCTTTAATAAACACTTCCTTTCATCCTTATTCATTTTGAATAAACAGTTTATCTCATTCAACTGACGGACATATTACAGCATCCTTACGAGCAGAAAATGAATTCAGTTATGCATGCAATTACAGTTCTCAAGAACCACAAAATAAAAATAGTACCCAAGGCTGCACAATCAAAGATACCTGCAAATGCAATTCTGCGGAAGATTGCGTCACTTGCTATTGCTCCAATATCGACATTTCTCAAATTGCATAGCTATCAAACACGCTACCTCTGCCTATTCCTAGTGGGATCGTGACCACTCAATGCATACATAATAGACCTATTTTAGAAACAAAAGCAATAGCAGCTGAATTGACACTTCCTGAATTCTTAAATGAAAAACATAACACAAGTTACACAAAATTTCCGATGTCGAGTTTTCCCACAACATCTCCTCGGTTGTTATGATTGCCTAAAAAGGCCTATTTTTTTTGCTGAACAGATATCACTGAAGTATCAGCACAAATCGCATGTAGAACACAACAACTTACACCAACATGTAAAAAAGATGGTAGGTACAACGTTCTTCTTGTATTTTTTAGTACGCCCAGGTCGATGAAATTTGTAGAACGTACTGCGGTACACATACTACCGTATTCGACTGAAAGGAGCACTCATCTATGATAATGGCATAAAACGGTTTTCGAATTATATTCAAGTAGAAACAGCAACCCAACCGCCGCATATTCGGACTTCTCCATCGAACTAGCCCTAGTGGATTTCTCTCACTTCCTTCAGACATGCAAACAATTCCTCTTTTACTCGCTCACTATCCTTTTACTCCTCGAAACCGCACTATCATTCAGTTGTAATCTTCTTTCCCAAAACACCACAAGAACAAGTACTCCTTTTCTATACCTTCCTCAAACTAGCGATACCATTTATTTTCCTATTACTTCGCCACCCTCTACGGTTGATCGCAAATGATATTATATCATGATATCATATTGATCGCGTATGTATGTGCGTGTAAACGTACAAGTATGTTAGTATGTATGTATGTATGTATGTATGTATGTATGTATGTATGTATGTATGTATGTATGTATGTATGTA